AGCTTCACATAGCTCGTCGCAATCGGGTCTGAAATGTTATGAAGAGAACATCCAAATATATTTAGAGATAGAGTCAACAGTGCGATTACTCGATAATTACAGGTATAGTTCGCGGTTACAAAATCGAAATATCCCGACGTGTTCGAGCCTCACACTCTACGCATATCTGGCATCGCGCACATAATCGCACGCCCCCGACATCCACTCTCAGGGCCGTAGAACCCATCCGGCCGGTTTCCTGCAGGCCGTAGGGGCCCAACGGCAACGGAGGGATGGGTTTTAAAGGGGCCGCGGCAAAGAGCGGAGCCTCGGCTCGCGTGTGCTCTGACGCGGAAAGCCGGTTAGTCGGTCTCAATCCGTCGTGGCGTTCGTATTAAGGCAGTGTGTACTCCGAATCGCGTGTTCCGAACCGGCAAACTGACGACGGGACCGGAAACGTGCTGAAGAAGGCCACGCGGATCGTTCGTCGCCCTGACTCGCGTCTGTTCCGGCGGCGTCCGACGCGAAACGTCAAACAAAAGATTCCTTTGTTTTTCGGTGTACCTTCGATTGTTATACATTTAGTGTTTTGGTGCACGTGGCTGCTGCGGTTCGTGCACGAATTCGGTGTATCCGGACCTGCGCACAGAAGGTACGTTAATTTCGTTTTCATTGCTAATCCCATAACGGCGCACGCGTCCTCGTGCGATTGGAGTCACCCGCGCTTTCATTGAAAAAACACAATATTAACCGGGAATTGGTTAATTAATGAGATTTTAATTTCTCAATATATATATATTTATATATGTGTGTGCGGTGATACAATAGATAGTGACAATTGGGAATCTTGATACATCTTTCGTAAACATTGAAATTTTCTCGGAAAACAGAGAAGTTATTTAGCAAAATATACAGTGAAAAAAGACCTTTGGGCTCTTTATTTTATTTGAAATAGTTTTATATAAAGAAAATTATTGCGAAATATTTTTACCAGACAACGCATATTTCTCATTGATATGAAAAAAGTATATGAAAAGTTTATATGAAAAGAGAAAATTCTTTAAGAAAAATCCTCTCTCCCTTTTATATATATATGTATATATAATTCAAATTTATTATGGTATTGTAGAACCTTTTTTCTCTTATTTTATTCTTATGTTCATTTCTAATGGAGGTTAACTTTAATCTCTCTCCATCTCTCTTATTCTTCATTTTTTTCTAATTTTTAAAAAGACTTCTAATTCTTAGAAAAAGATAAGTAAGTTGAACCCAGATTAAAGTTAATCTACATTGATAGAGGTCATTAGAGATTAAAATTCTTGAGATGTTTATATATCTTGGATGCAAACAAAACTATCGTCATTAATCTTTCGTGTCTTTAAAACAATTATTATTAAATTTATGAGACTGAAATGTTCGTGATTTCGCAGAACGTCTACTTACTCCATAAAATCTCTTGCATATGCATAGAGTGTAATGCTACGCTCGAGCTATTCACCGGACAAACGATATTGTGCTATTAGTAATGTCTACATACTTTACATATATTTTAACCGTCGGCAACAATTATAGTTGGTCATAAAACAAAATGGTTCGTTGAGCAAGACTTGCTATTATTTGATCAAATAAGCGGCCTTGAGTTGCGCAAGAATGCTATTGGACGCTCTCTTTTCTCATATCGAAAGAATATTTTCTACTAAGTATTCACATACTTTATCTTTAAATTTTTTACATTTGTGACTATTGTATAAGTATTTTAGAATTTTTTTTTATCTTGGAAATAATCTTGCTTTAGTCCTTTTTATTTAAAAAAAAATTTGCCTTTAATAAAAGTTTTGCTTATAAAAAGTTAAAAAATTTAAAAAATATTTCGTAATAAAACACATTGAGAATTTCTTAATTTATAATAATTTGTAATATAATTTTAATGGAGTCATTTGTAATATTTTCGTAAATGCAAATTTTTTTATTAATTCACATCAAATAAGTTACATTTTTCAAAATTTTGACTTAAATTTTTGTTACACCTTAAGTCAATTTGTTATATTAAACTAAGAAATGTTTGAATATTACTGATCTGTCAATAGCGTTATTACGAAATCCTGCCATTGATGTTTTGATAAAATGTATGCTGTGTAGGCACTCTAGTAAATTACAGTCCTGCATTCAAACCGGCAGCTGCGTTAACCGAACAAGCGGCTCGCAATTGTAGAACACATATGTCAAAGTCATAGGACAGAGTGCTGATTCAATCTGGGTATCTTTTTAGAAAACTCGAACGATGATTTGTATAAATCACTTCGTCACGTTCTAGATCGATCCTCGCATGTAACGCACTTTATCCTTTTGTAAAAGCAAGTATCCGATTTTTCTCATCTTTTGACAAGCATCGCATAATTTTCTGTTTCAATTTCATTTTTCTATTAATTTGTACAACACATTAAATACACATTATATAGACATGATATATTAACGATATTAAATATCTATAATAGGATACACAAAAAGAGGAGAGACGAAAGAGAGAGAGAGAGAGAGAGAGAGAGAGAGAGAGAGAGAGAGAGAGAATTCAATAATAAATCCAAAAACCCCTATTAATAATGATATTATAGCATAAATTACATTTTCGCGTTTTTGATAGCTAAATATATAATAGAAGCTAATCGCTTTATGATTAATAAATCCTATTTAAGGATGAGTAAGTATAAATCTGTACTCTATTTGTATACATTATTGGATGTAGTCATTTTATATTTTTTACTGAAATTCGAACATGCCTAATTAACGTGTTCCTAAATAAAATTTGTCTATGGAATATGAAACCTAACAATAGTTTCCATTTTTATTACTATACAACAATAGCGTCATTATGAAAAAAATATAATAGAATTGCAGCTTTCTCCCATTCACCACTAAATTTGGATTAACCTAATTCACTGTGTGAATACTCTCAAGCGCACTTAAGTCCCGCAAAGAAAAAATAGAAGGGGAGAAAAACAAGAAAAAAAAGAAGTAGCCAACGCGAAGGCTATACCTACCTACCGTTAATCTGTACTGTATCTGTTAATGTGGCTCGGTATACGAGCATAAGTCTCGCGTCATGCGAGATGCAAATGCGACTCATAGCATCGGTGTGAAAAATTTTTTGTTGCTGAACGATTCTTTCTCGTCATGTTTCCCGCATGAATCGCGCGATGTCGAATCAGATGATGCATTAATTAATTAGCACGTTCGTCTTCATAAAGCAGAGAATGAATAGAAAAACAGACACAAAAAGGCATAATATGATGAGGCTCGCTTTAACGAGCAAAAATCGACCAAAACAATGGCAATGTTTAATACATGAGTTTTTTAAGAGTATATAAAGATACTTTATGGATATTTTAATTTGCGGAATTAAGATATATGTATATAACAGTAATTAAAAATGAGTTAATTAATTTAATAATACATACACTGAGAGAAAAATGTACTAAATTTTAATAAATATTTGTTTGAATAGTGCCAGTTGAATATTCGTTAAATGTACTTATTTGATACTATTAATTTGATATAACTATTATTAGTTTTTATTTAGCAAATATTTATTTTCTGTAAATGTGATGTTGTATTACCATTCATGGTCTTGTAGAGAATAGATGAATTTAAATGTAAAAATAATATATATCTATACATTTTTAAGAATGTAATTCACTATAATTTATCCGTTAATTAGTGTCTGCGACTGATATATATCAAAATAAAAATGTAACAAAGATTTAATGGATAATATACAATTTGTATAGTAATCCAATAATAAAGTAAATGACATCTGAATAAATATGACATCATTGTATAATATTTTTCACAATCTTAGAGTAAATAGATAAGTTAATTAAAATAACACTTAATAACATTTCAAACAATTACTTATTAAAATTTAGTACATTTTTTTCTTAGTATACACGCACAATTGTAATATCAATTATTTACATAAATTACATTAAATATTGAAATGTAAAATCTTACTGTTGACGAGAATATCGTTAAACTTAATTATTTTCAAGTCCAAAGTTTGACTACCTTATTTAATTTCGTCGAAATGACAAATATCGTTAGAATAGGGATAGATGATCGTTAGCTAGTAACGTGACAAGATATACGAGCATTTGCGAACGCACAATCCATTATAGAAGATAAGATGATTATTAAATAATTACCGTTAAGAAAAATTGTGGAATGAGTTTTCTTCTATCATCAATCCTTTACACTTACATTATTGTACATACCAACACATTGTTATAATATAAATTAACTGTCATTTTTTATATTGCAATAATTTTAATTGTAACATTGTAATTATGAATCAATATAAAAATTTTAGAAAAAAACAATAGCATTAGAGAAAACATTGATTTGGTCGATTTAAAAAGGACACTAATGCAATAAATATTGTATATACCGAATTTAATCGTTCAAACTTAATCCTTTACAAATATCTAATAATATTATATTTTTACGCGTTATTTGATGACTGAAATCGTATATACGGATGACTACTAAAAACTATTCTTTTATTTCTTAATGTTATTTTAATTAACTTATCTATTTACTCTAAGATTGTGTAAAATATTATACAATGATGTCATATTTATTCAGATGTCATTTACTTCATTATTAGATTACTATACAAATTGTATATTATCCATTAAATTTTTGTTATATTTTTATCTTGATATATTGTACAATACATATATACAATAGTGTCGCAGACACTAATTAACGGATAAATTATAGTGAATTACATTCTTAA